AATAAAGACAATGCTATCATTACACTGAGGACTTCTCTCCAAGGCTTATTTTAGAGATTTTATTATCATATTGTTACTTTTAGTTCATCATCACATGCTAATTTGGATTTCGTGGATCAATTAATGATCCATTATTATTGCTGATGGCTCTGTGGGTTAGGCGTCGGGCTGCTAATGCCAAGGTCAGTGATTCAAATTCACCAGCTGTTCCAGTGGAGCGAAATGAGGCAGTCTGCCTCCATAAAAGCTACATCCACTGGAGAACTCGTTGGGGGTACGTTGAGGTAGTTCTACTCTGTCCTATGTCAGAGTGTCATCATGAGCAATCGTACAGCAGTAGGGAGTAATCTTACTTCATTAATAGTTCTCTGTTCAAAATTCTACTACCCTTACACATCCTGGCATTCTCAGCCCCCAAAGAAGGGCCGTACAATTTCAATTTCATCTCCTTGTGTTACATATCATGGCATTTTGCAAAAATAGTGTTTAGCAAATGAGTGTTAGAGAGACCAATTCTAGAACTATAATTTGGTGTGTTTCTCTAAGTAATGCATGAACCCCACTGCCATCAGGCGACAGCAATTCACAACGACCCTACATAGGGTTTCTGGGACTACGATCTTTTAAAGGAGCAGTCAGCTTCATTGTCCTGCAGAGTGCTTGGTGATTTTGAACCACCGACCATGTGGCTAGCAGGCCAACACTTATGTAACATTATATAAGAAATTACCTTTAAATTGCTTGTGTTTATCATATATTTTCGTTTTTATCACCTACAAAACCTGGGGTTTGGGTATACATATATTTTACTTATCAAAGGAATTAAGCTATTTGAAATGTTATGAAAAATTACCAAAAAATATAATACAAAGTTAACAGAACAGGGTTTTACATCATACACTGTAGGGCTAGCAACCATGTATCAGGCCAGGAAGCGACATTAGAAATACACTGTATTCAGATGTTCTTGTTTTCAATGTATGCTGTCAATATCAACTCATCGCAACCCTGTCTTGACAAGATAGGACTGCCACCAAAGGGTTTTCCAGGCTAGTGTGTCTGAGAAAAGAGGGCCTGGCGAGCTGCTGGGTGGATCTGAACTGCAGTCAAGCACTTAGCCACAGCACCAGTACGGCATCAATATTCTCAGATATGTTTAATACATGCAGTTTCATTAAAGTGAATGCACCATGAAAAGTAGAATTCTAGCCTGAAATAACTAATAGTCTGCTAAACTGACAACTAAAGTTCACTGCCATCAAGTCAATGGCGACTCACGGTGACCCTGTAGGACAGGGTAGAACTGTCCCCTGTGGGTTTCTAAGTCTGTAACTCTTACCAGGAGTAGAAAGCCTGGTCTTTCTGTTGCGGAGCAGCTGTTGGTTTTGAACTACTGATCTTGCAGTTAGCAGACCAAAGCATAACTACCACAACAACAGGGCTCCAAAAAACTGGCAAAAGATCTTAAAAATTGAAAGTCTGAATGTCTACCTTACTCAATCATAGTGTTCATAGGAAAAGAGTTTCACACAATGTTAAATTATATCCAAAAATCAAACTTCCAAAAATTACCACCCTAAACTCTATTCGACAGAAAATGTTGCCAAAAATGTTATTTGTGCATAAATTCTAAAATAACACAGACATCAAAAACTTATGTTTAAAAAAAAGAATTTTTAGATTAACTCTTCCAATTATATTGGTATTTCTTACAAAGTTTATTTGTATTTTTTTCTCCAAGGCAGCCCAGGATTGTAAAAGTATCTAAATTGTGTACAGTACTTCACATCTTATGAAAATACATTTGTGTCGATCCACTCATTTAATTCACACAAGAACATTAACAGATATTTACCTCTAGTTTACAGATAAGGAAACTGAAAATTATCAAATAAAATAAATGACTTCCCCAATCACAGAGCAAGTACAGAGTAGAGACTGGACCTAACTCTTCAGAATCAGGGCCCAAAATTATTTTCTCTGACCTGTTGTTTGTCTCCTTCTCTAAAATCCTTCATTACTTTAATCTTCCTCCCTGACCACATCTGTCTTTTCATTTGTGGGGAGATTTTATAAACTAATATGAGGTTATAAACTCTTTGATTATAATAGGCAATCATTAAATATCTAATAATAAAGTATTCCATTTATTGCCCACTTCAAATCAACAGGTACATTCGGAAGAAACGCATTCATTTTAACTCACAGAAGATTTACCTACATACAATATAAAATAACTAAAAGCTGCCCAAGAGTTCAAACTCCTATTCAATAACCCAAAGAGTGCAGCATTATATAATGGAAGCTTATGAGAATAAAAACTGCAAAGTACAGAACCTGAGGAATTTAATGACATATAGGTACTCCCACCTTTACTAGAGACCTCTAATTTCAATGAAAGAAAAAAGCTGAATTAAGCCTTCAAAAAATGACTGTACCAATGTCTTTTTGGCATATATTATGCTAATCATTTTAGCCACTTAAAACAAAATGGTGCTATTAAAGAAAATTGATCATTTTCAAGTTGACCCTTTCATTTTCTTTAGAAAGAATACTAATCTGAATTTCTACACTTACATGTTAAGCTAGAAGTATAAGTGAATACAAGGGAAAGTAGAAAAATATTGCTACAAAATCATCAAACCTTTATTAAATGAAAATATCAAAATGTCAAGCTATTGTTTCCCAATATGTACTTCATCAAGGTCTATGCACCTCTATAAGCAGTGCTTCCTCTCTCTAATCCGTCCCTGAAGAAGGCAGCTTTCTCATCCTTGTTGTGTCATGTTTCAAATTGTATTCCTTTTAAAAGTTATGAAAGTTTTGGGAACCAGAGGCAGTCTGAAGGAGTCAGATCAGGGCTGTTGGGGAGATGGTATAAAGTTTCTCAAGTAAATTCCAATAGGCCAGCTGTGGCTTCCCTCAAAGAATGAACAGGTGCACTGCTGTGATTTAAAAAAAAATTCCGTTGGTACAATTTCTTGGCCTTTTTCACACCAATCCACTTTTTTTTACACTCTTGAAACTACTTTCTAATAAGTCCTGTGGTCATCTTGCATTTTTTCATGAAGATCAATAAAGATTATATCTTTGGAGTCCAAAATGTAGTCACCATAGCCTTGTGGGATGACCTCTATTTCTTCACTGGCCTATTAGAACCCTTGGAAGCCACTGTTTTTATTAGATGCTGTTTTTTTTTAAAAGCAAACTACTAAAGAGACCAAGACAAGTGTTGTAATGAGAGAATTTCTCTCCATCCACTTAGTGATCTCTCAGAGATGTGTTTAAACAGTTTATTTTAAATAAGTCCATATATGCCTGAACTAGAACCCTAGTAGCAAGACATTTTTACTTATCCTCATATTTTAGCCTTTTGTAACATAGGGCAAATTTCAAAACTAGTACTTTTTTTTAGAGTTTGTGAAATAGAAGAAAGTTATCACATGAATTATAATTAATTTGTCTATACTTCACTTAAAAGGCGTCCTGGTGGCATAGTGATTATACATTGGGCTGCTAACATCAAGCGACTCACTGGGAGAACGAGGAGGCTTTCTACTCCCTTAAAGAGTGATAGTCTGGGAATCCCACAGGAGCAGTTGTGACCTGTCTATTAGGTTTCTAGGAGTCAGATCAACTTGATGCTGGGGAGGTTTGAGTTTAGCATTACTCTTCCTTCTACAATATTGCCAGCATGGCCACAAATTTTGATGAGTGATCACAATACAAATTTCAAAAGACTTTACTAAGGAAAATGAGATTGATAAACTATTAGAACAATATGTTTGATTGTGAAAGTAAGTAAATATGATTACAAAGTCAGGGTCTGAACATTAAGAAAATTAACTATCAATATGAAAATTAGAACACATATGTACTTTAATGGTCTAAACACATTTTAAATTGTGTCAATTTCACTTAAATGTAAGTTACTAGGTGTGGCTACTCTAAATTCCACTGAATTTAGACTTCAAGTGGTTATTTTATGTTCTGTGAATTTCATGTAATATACATGTGTGCATTACATAATCCCCTCTGAAGTTATTTAGTCCACATGGCAATTAGTTAGCACCATTCTAGTCCCTGAACATAAACTGAAATCCTGTGGACAGTCATCCTGAAAATCCGTATCACTTGAAAAGATGGGAGTAAAAACTGAAGAAGCGCACCAATGCTTTCACATCCCAAAACATAAAACATTTATCAGTCACTAAAGATTAAACAAAACATTCCTAGGTTTAATGCCCAATAAAGAAAATGTAAACAGCCTAAGAAATAGTTTAGCAATACTTAAATATATTTTTATAATATTACATATATTTTCATAATTAAATTAGCATTAGAAGTAAGGTAAATCGATCATTTTATTTATCTTTCATCAATTTTTATTTGTTGTTTATTAATAACTACAAGCAAGAGCTTATATGGGGTAGAGGAGCGTAATCCTTTACTGAATCACAAAACCAATTCAAATATGATTATCCTAGTCAATAAGAAATTTTATTAGCACTATTCATCAAAATGTTTCTTAAAAATCTTATGTTATATTTGCAGCGAAAATTTAAGACCAATTATGAAATAATATTTCTATACTTAAATATATTAAGAAGAAATTGAAGGAAAAAATTAAATTATTTATTTTTAATTTAAAATACCTTACTGCTCAAATTAACTTAGAATATTTTAAATTCTCATTAATTTAAATTTTTAAAAGGTACTAAATTTGAAATACATTACATTCATATTACTTTAATAGGATATATAACATGCTTTTAAAACTTTAGAGCATGGTAATTAAGGGATTCAGACAGGAAAAAAAATAAGGATGAAAATTTAAGTGTTATGGGCATTTATCACAAACTATTCATCACTTTATTACAATTATACCACAAAGAACTACATTAAAATATGAGTAAAACTAAGCTGGAAACGTACATCAGCAAATTGTATGATAAAGTGTCTCCTTTGTCCATCACAATATACAGAAAGGACATATTCACCAGGTTTCCCATGACTCTCTCGCACCAAGAAGTCTCCTTGTTGTTTTAACAGATCCTGGGCTTCTATTCTAGGAATTGCACCATGGTACCAGTCCTGTTCAGCCAGAGGCTTTTCACTGACGGAGATCACATCAGAGTACTTGAACAAATACAGAGAGGGAAAGGGAAAAGACAAATTACAGTTAGAGAGAACAGTGATTCTTTTTCTAGTAACATTCATAGGAATTATAGACTTTTTGTCATTTGTTCTGCTCTTCCATTGACCTACTAAAAATTATATAATGAATCTAAAATGTTCACAATTTTTAAAGAGTAGATATAGAGGCATTGGTATTAAACTTTATCATAAATACATATTCTTAAATCTCTTAGGGTTCCCCCCTGTATTATCATACATAGATGCATACAAAAGTTAACATTTAGAGTTAGCATTTAGACTCTTAATAGATATATGTATTAAAGCTTAGCAGTCAGAGAAATTAAAAACCAAACAGGGAAATGTATTACTAAATGACCTTTTTTACTGAAAATAAAAGAGGTGTTATTCCTTTGTATTTCTCAAGCACACGAGGTGGGGTGTGCCATGCTCTATGTCCAGAGGGCACTGCCCAAGGCTCTGCTGCTGCTTAGCAGCTGTATCTTCGCACTTTATTAGTCAACTGTCCCCTCTGCCACACTGTTGGCCCTGCTCCTGTCCAGCAATGACAGACAACACAACCAGAATCAGCAACAAACACATGCACTTATAAACAGGTGGCAAAAGCAAGGGAGGACTATCAACCAGGTCCACACCAGGAAAAGAAATCGTTTTGTTATTTGAGAAAGCCAAGGTTATGGGAAGTAAGCCAAAAACCAAACTCCTTGCCATCAAGTCGATTTTGGCTCATAGTGACCCTATACTGCAGGGTACAAATGCTCCAGTGGGTTTCCGAGACTTGAACTCTTTATGAGACCTGAAAGTCTCTTCTTTCTCCCACAGAACTGCTGGTGGTTTAGAACTGGTGACCTTGCATTAGTAGCCCAACAAGTAACCCACCACACCACCAGGGCAGGGAGAATTAAGAGCAGAAGTATATATTTCCTTGACATGTTTCTAATTGATAAACGGCATTACAGATTTTCTGATTTAAAAAGTTGATTGTTCAGGTTTCTTTGTTTTGTTTCATTTTTTGTTACCAACAGAAAGAAAACTGTCAGATGAAAAGAACTCTATGAGCAAGGTATAATTATTTGTATTATCTCTTATGATTCCCGAAATACAATACACACAATGCTTCACTAGGAATCAAATTCTAAACTGGAGAAATGTGGATGAATAATGTTGGAAAGGCAAAATATACATGAATGAGTTCTTCCAGGCTGATATTATGAACCCTATGTAGCCTCCCTGGATCTCTGTAAAAAATGAAAACGGTTTGGAACAAGGGCTTCATTGCTTCATATCACTGAAGGACCTAACACTTACTGGTAAAACTCCATTGTAAGTCCAGAGAATCCACACACTGGTTCATACTCATCCATCTACCAATATTTTTTACTTCTTTAAATATACTCATAGTGTAACTGTCCATGGAAATTTACTTACTAAGTTAGCTTTTCTTTTAGCTTTAATTAACATATAATTCAAAAATATTTTATAAGGTTTTCACAAAAATTAGTTAAAAAAACTAATTATATAAAGAGCCCACCATATCTCTAAGATGCAATAGGCTACTTTTAAAAACATACACGTGTCAATATGCAACTCCTTTACAAATATTGATATTCTAAATATATTCTCATTTTTGAAAGAGTGTAATCAAAATGATTAATGTGACTTTTCCAAAATATATCACAATGCATATAATTAAATACCATAATCTCATTATAATGAAACATTTCTAAGACTAATCAATAGCACAAGTGCTACACTAATTTTTTCCTGAGGTGAGGGAAAAATAGCACTATTTAAGAAATGTATTATAATTCTTGGAAAAGAATATGTTTGCATCATTATCCCTCAAAAATCAGAAAGCATCATGTTATTTCATATGTGTGCTTTTGTCCTACCAACCTATCCATCACTTTGCGTTTACTTGTCACTCACTGTCATCGAGTAGATGCTGACTCATGGCAACTCCAAAGGACAGGGTAGAACTGCCTGTGACTTTCCAAGACTGTAACTGTTTATGGGAGTAAAAGTCCCATCTTTCTCCAGCAGAGCAGCTGGTGGTTTCGAACTGCTGACTTTTCAGATCACACCCCATGCATAACCAGTATGCCACCATGGTTTCTGGTGAGTTTATTTAGAACTGGGGTAATGAAGAGACTGAAGAATTTATTAATTAAGGTACGGAAGTGTTTAAAGTACAATAGCTTAGCAAACACTAAAGAAAGTCACTTCATGATTTGAAGATGAGGAATATGCTTAGGGTAGAGGTGGGGCTTCCTAAAAAAATTTATAAACATTTCTGTTGTGCCTATTATGAAAATGAAGGAATAGGAAGAAATGTACAGTGCTAGCTCATAGGAACTATACCCCAATTATTTTGGTCTACTCATTTCTTTTGGGTAGGATGAGAAGCTTGCAGCTTCTGATTCTTTGTGCCCTGCACTGTTTCCCAAAGTGGGCGATATCGCCCTCTGAAGGGTGTTGAAATGATTCAGGGAGGCTACAAAAGCAATACCTACATTTTATCCTGGATTACAGGCTACAGTACAAACGTTTTTAACTGCAGGGGTGGGCAGATAGGAGAGGGCACTGAGGAATTATGCTTCTCAAAATTATGCCAAATAAGTTTGGAAACCTATGCCCCAAACAATACTGTTACAAATGGCAGGCTGAAGTTACTGTAGTTGGAGCCCACACACAACCTCAGAGAAACATCATAAATATGCTTTCTCCCAATCACTCAGCTCTTTCAGAGATATCTCTGGAAGTACTGGAAGCAATGGTTTTATAAGTATGAGTTCAAT